AAAATAAAGTGCTTAGTTTTACAAAAATGAAATAGGCCTAAAACATGTAACTTCAGTTTTCTCCTTTTTCTTTTTTTTCTCCTCCACATCTTCACAGTCTGAACAATTGTTATAATAAAGTATAGTAAACGCATGAATAAGCAGGTGTACAGGTGTTCCTAATGAAGTGCTTGGTGAGCTGGATTAGGCTGCACAAAACTGGAGAGCTTATTAGCTGCCTGTTTTTGACTCTTCTGGGAATTTTTTTTTTTTTTTGTATAAATACTCACTGTATGACTTAAATAACAAAAAAGCTATAAACCACTTATGCCTACACAGCTGGTGGCCTAGCTGTTTTTATAATTGTTTGTTGTTTTTTTTCTCCCTTGTCATTATCCATGGAAACAGCTTAAAAATCCATTTCAGTTTGTAATGGGTTTCTAAGAATTGACATTTTGTCACCAACTAGCAAGCACTGTTTGACATCATCTTTAACCTCTGTGAGTAGCTTTGCGGCGCAGTACAGAACCGGACTTTATGCGACACATGGGCTCTTGTCAAGCTGTAATGTGACAGCTACATGTAACTTATACATTTCCGCACTGAAACACAAACACACACCTATGGAATAGAGGTGGCGCTAGTGGAAAAGTCAGTAGTACTGGGAACCACGTACGTACCAATTCTTAGCACAATCCATCCAATAGTTATTGAGATATTGGCCAGTCCACTAGAGTGGTGGACCGGCCAGTCAAGTGACCCACATTGCAATCCCTAGAGCTATGTGTGACCCGTTTATTGGGGTAAATTTACAGAAGTTGCTCTCAGTAATTACACCCCTGCACCTAGTATCCGCTGTAACTGTAGCCCCACCGTCCATAAGTGAATGACTCTTAAAACAGTTCCTCCTCTGACCCAGCACTGTGTAGGGCCTTTAACATATAATTTCTAAAGCCAAGTCCCCTCTTAAGTAACAACCACTGAACTTTAACTCAGCTCTTTCACCCAGTTTTCACAACAGACAATAACAAGGATGAAAGAGGATCTTTCTGGGCGAACTGGGAGACTGCTGCTCCTACAGTTATTGATCTTAATCCCTTCAGCCACTTGGCACACGAACAAGCCCTGGAATGGTATCTCCACAGTTTGTTAGCTTTATCACAAGGTTGAAATGAGTGTGTGAATTAAAAATAAGTAGACCAAAGACACCAGACCACTGCAGGATGGCAGTATAAAGTGTATGATACCCTATTTCACCTGTTTCTTCTTCTCCAACCTCTGACCATAGTACTTCTATTGAAATGCTCTATTAAGTCACCAATTACAACATATCCCTGGTGTGCGGTTAAACTTGCAGCTGGAGTGAGGAGTGATGAGGTCCCCAGCAGACACAGGCAGGCCAGGGTGTAATCATGTGCACCCATGGCCTCTGTGCTGAAGCCCGACGGTGCCACTAACAGCAGGCACTGATAGATGCTGACAGGGTTCAGAGTGAGAGCGACGCACAGCAGTGGCTCTGACCTGAGCGAATGCCGATATGGTCGTGACGGGTCACCAGTGTTTTGGCAGCTGGGAGGGACAAACAGGCAAGAGAAGCAGTGACAGCAGTGTGAGGTACGGGAGCAGTTTGACTGCTGAGGTTTTACACAACGAAATCCCATTTTACAAATACAGTATCAAAGACTTGTAACTGCTAAAGCTTTGGACCGAAAACATTAAAGGAGAATTCCACCCCCTTTTTTAAGAGCTATCATCTGCGCTTCATCACTATTCTGGGATTTTCAGTCACTGCAAGTGGTCATTTGTGACTCCTGTGTCTTTCTGATGTCTCATGCTTCTCTTGTCTGCATTGAATGATTTCCTACATTTCCCACAATACCTTTCAACAAGCCCCACAGAACATGCCTGAACTTGTTGTGTTTCAGCTGTGTGTTTCAAGGGAGTGATGGCAAGACTGTGCCAGTTTTTTCTCTGTGAGGAAAACGTCAGAATTGTCACTTGTTAAAATTTAAAACACAACGTGTCTTGATGCTACATTGAATTATGGGCTACTGAGGCCCACAGCATGCACATAAATAGTTATCTTTTCCACTTCTGTTATGGATTCCTCATAGTTTAATTCTTGAAAACTGGTGAAAAATAAGAAACCTAAAACTTAAAGCTTTGCTCTTTTTCATTCAGACGTTTCGCTGTTTAACCCGCAGAGTAAACACAACACGAAACAAGAGGACCCAGAATCAAATACAATTCTAATGTTGAGTTACATTTAAACTTTTTCAATACTGACGAAAACATGTGAATCCATGTGTTTTGGTTTTTAAACTTGTGTTTATATAGGGACCTTTTTGTGTTTAAAAAAATATGGCAAACTTCTGAAATACTGTATATACCGACTTAAACCAACAATCATACAGCTTTGACTTTGATTAACAAAAATGTGTTTAAATCATCCGCTCTCTGATCAAATAATAAATAAACACTTAGAAACCAAGACAAAAGCATTCACTGACAACGTTGTAGTTACCAAATTAATTTCCTTGATATAATCACAAGATTATTTGATTCATTTGTTGCCATTTATTTGTAGCAACCAAAGAAACTATGACTGACTCTGATGGTAGAGGGTTGTGTTTAAATCTCCTGCGTTGATCTTTGATGATTATAGAAAGTATAGAATTACATGATCTGTATCCTTCCGATCTCCAGTCACATCATGTGGTTTTCCTCCTGTGCCTATAAAACCATATTAATTGAAAAAGGAAACACATTTAGCAACTACTTTTTTGTTTGTATCCGTGTAGCAGTATGTGTTGACTTTACCATACAGTGTACATTTACAGCTTCTCAGGAACCAGAAGTGATCTTATATAACCACAGTCAACAGAAGCTTTTATAAGCAGAAAACGTGTGTCTGTGTGTTTAAAAAAGCCCTGAACAAACAGCAGAATAAAGCAAGCCTCTCCTGATCTTAAACATAAACCGTCAATTAAATGTTTCATGTTGCAAGGCTCGCAGTGAGTAAGGTCAACTGTGTTAATGTTAGAGGGAAGATGCTGAGGTCTCTAAACGTCAGCTCTTAGAAATTCTTTGATTCAGCTCTTCTTTGAAACTAATTACTGCACAGATGAACAGAAATTCTCGAAATAACCAAAAGAAAATATGTGTACTTCCATTCAAAAACTCCAGTAAGGGAGAACAGCATACCGAATGTGGGTCAGCGTTTTATAACTGAATCAAAGACTATCCATGACCTGACGTTTTTAAAGAAACCCCACTGTTTCCAACACAAACTCAAGTTTCAACCAAGTCCACACAAAGCACAGGACTCTGAAATTAACTACTATGTAGGAGTAGCATGAGAAGTGTGATGCTTTTGCTACAGAAAATAAATTCTGCTGTGACATTAGAGCTCAGCACCAGACTCAGTGTTCAGTGTGAAATCACGGAACAGCCTGGCTGCATCTGCTGTGTGAGCACACATGTACACATTTACATTCACGCACGCACGCACACACACACACACACACACACACACACACACACAAACACACACATATACACACCACACACACATCAAAACACAGACACAAACACAGCGTAGACTGTACCTACCTCTCCACATTCCCAACTCATATGGGGGAAACATGTTGACCTGATTCTTTCATCCACAGATTTATAGGACTGTTTGTAAGGTGCATGTGAAAAAAAAAAAAAAAAACTAAAGGCAACAAACAAAAGTAAACCTCTTTAAGATGAATACGTTTTATCTTAAGGTGACAGGATGTAACAGCACTGTCACAATAAAGAAACACAACACCGCATGATACAACTTCACTGTCCTTATGCTGGGCCTTATTTAAAGTAATTAGCTATATCAGTAAACAGTCTGAGCTGTAAGCTGATTTTAATATGTTTCATCATTAGCCTGCTCTGTCTCTCCAGAGCCTATGGGCCTCTCTACATTGACTCTAGCACATCCAATGACACCCACCATGACTGATGAACCCACACACTCACAGCCAATACACCAATAATTATCTGGTCAGCAGCATCTATGCCATTGTGTATTTAGGCTTTTATTAAAACATCTCATTTCACCAGGTGAACATACGGTACCGTATGCCTGCACAGTACATTGGCCCCAGGCTAAGAAACACCAATAACATGATGGCACAACCACACAGCCTCAGCTAACCTCTTCCATGTATCAATCAGCAGCTCACTCTGGTGACCTCATATCAGGATCATCCGTGTAACAGCACTCAGACATCAGACAATCTCACACTTTCAATTGTGTCGCTCTTCCTAAAGAGCTTGTGCAGCTTGTTAATTAAAAACACGGCCTCTCCACCGCAGAAGCCGGGCTCACGCCAGCGTGCTTTCCCCAACCCCTACAGTATTTTTGAGCTGTGCCTCCTTGAAGCTCTCTGCAGAGCCTCTGTTGCACTGAATCCTGGGTATCCCTGGCTGGGTGTTTCACTGAGGTTGCAGCATCCGGCACAGTAGACATTCAGAGCTGCAAAGCTGCAGCTTGGCAGATCACAGGGAGCATCTAGCATGTTATGACTGGAAGACAGACTGGTCTTCACTTCACAGTGCTTATGGATAGGATGGGTCAGCACTGCTGGTGCTGTTAAGAGCTGTCACTCCTAAGATGCAACTGTCTAGACTGAAACATTAAGAAGTCTGCAGAAACAGTGAAGAGATGAGGATACCCTAGAAATCACAAATGATTAGTTTTAGAGATGCTGGGACTGCAGTGCAAGGACATTTGCCTACCAACAAGCATTGTGGGTGAGACCTGGTACACCAAAATAGAACAGGCATGTGGTGTTGTTCTGTAGTCTGCCCTGAAGATGCACAGCATCTCCATCCAAGCACAGTTCTCAGACCAGGCCTATGACCATCCTTCAACTATACAGGGCCCGTAAAGCCAGCACAATATGCGTGAAGAATAATCTCCAACATCAATACTTAAACTATTTGGACATTATCGGTTTCCTGCGCATCATTTCACCAACCTTTTCACTCTTATGATCTGATCCCTCATCGGCTTTATGTCCTGGAAGCTTTGCTGGTTGACAAGGCTGTAGACCAGTATGAATCCTTGACCGTTTTTGATGTAAAGGTCCCGCATGGAGGCGAACTGCTCGGTACCAGCGGTGTCAAGGATTTCCAGTACCGAGGGTGAGGAGTCCACCTCGATCTCCTTGCGGTAAAAATCCTCTATGGTCGGGTCGTACTTCTCAATGAACGTCCCGGTGACAAACTGCACAGTGAGGGCGGATTTCCCGACCCCACCGCTGCCCAGGACCACCACTTTATACTCGCGCATCGTGGATTAAATCAAGTCGTAAGGTATCAATCTCCGCGCGTCATTGAAATGAACTCAAAATGTTCCCGCACGAATCACATTCACCATTCGTGTCCCATTTTGAACGGGTTGTCAATAATATAGTCTTGCTCGCCGCTGCTCAGCTATGGCAGAGCACAAAGACTCGGTGCCCCAAGATGGATTTCATTGTAGAAATTCCCCCATGCAGGCCAGACACTGACAGCTATACGAGCATCCGAGGACTGCAACTGTCCAAATTGTGCACAGGGGAGGAAGAAAATATCGGCCGATGATGTGGACCGTGCGGGTTTTCATCTGCTTAGCTCACCCCTGTCTGTGCATCAGAAAAAAACAAACTTGCTCCATCGAGGACACTGGAAAAACGCTGGGTTCAGCCCCTAGAATGAACTGCAGGCGCAGATTTTGAAGCAGGAAGCCGCCGCGGAAAATCTGCACAAACTAAAACTATTTCGACACTTGATTAAAGAACTTGCGTCTCTTTGTTTCTTTTTCACCATCGCTGGCATGTCTCCGTCTCTCCCCCGCTCTCCGGTGCAATCCTAGCCGCCATACTCTCGGGTGGAGACCCACGGCCGCTGCGTAACCAGCCGGTCCCCGCTCGGCTCCCGTACTGAGAGGGTAAAAAAAAAATAAAAAATAAAAAAAAAGCATACGGACCCCTCCCTCCGTCAGACGGATGTGCGAGCGGTCCAATGGCTGCCTCCGCTCTCCATACACCTCACTTGTGCCTGAATGGGGGACGCACGGAGGCAGCCACTAAAATTCAGCGGCCACATTTCCGTTCATGTGTTAAAATTCCCATCATTCGGTTGCCCCAGTGACATCCAAAGAGAGCTCGTCCAATCACAGAGGCGACTCGAGGATGCGTATCCAAGAGGAGGATAATGCGCCGGATGCTGTTGCTATGGTAACGCTGCATTTTGTTGCTGCTGTCCAAATGTGAGAATGCTGGATAAAAACTGCTTAACCGTGTAACAGAATATTTTTTATTGATAACCCAGACATTAACTGCGTCTGTTTGCCCTCTGGAAATTTTACTTTCAGTTGATGAAAACTTAAAATGAAACTGCCCAGCACACGACCTGAAATAGATCATTTATCCAAATGTATGGAGCATTTTAAAAAGAAAAACATGATCTGCCTGTCTGATTTGTCTTTTATGGGTATGCGACCAATCCAGCTGGACCTACCTCTAGTAGAAATGATTAAACTTTAAAAATTTAGCGAAATTATTTTATTTGTGAAATTATTTTATTTGATTCAGATTGAGTTTTTGTGCCGAATAAGTACAAAATAAATGTACATTACAAAATAAAACAACAGAGCTCACAGAATGGCATTTATTTGACATTTATTTATTTGCAATATTAGATATTACACAATTTAGAATTTACAGGAACAAAACTATCCACATGAAATGTTTAATTATGCACAAATAAAATTATTTCACGTTTCAAAAGAAAAAAAAAGCAAAAGGGAAAGTTTATATTCAGACCAGAATGGAACCAAATGGCACTGATACAGCTTCATCAGAAGTCTTGTAATTTTAATATAACCATTTATAATAACAAGTTAGTCAGTCTCATCATCATCATGCGTTTCAGGGTAGTGTTTCAGTTTGTTTTACAGTCTGTCATTTTGGCCGTAAACTAAAAATTCATGCTGTAACAATTTCACAAAATGATTGAGGGAAATTAGTTTTAGTTATTAGATACTGAATTCACAATTACTGAACAAATGCAAACTTAGGATTAGATCAAAGATAAGGCAAAGTTCACAAAAAGCATGTCTTCTCAGTCGACTGACCTTTGAGAAAGTGCTTAAGAGAAATGTTTCCGTCAGTCAGTCAGACCAAACATTCTTACTGTCCATTTGTTTTTGACTGGGTGAATCAAAATGTCAAACAAGCTCCATGTGCAGGCGTTTTCTTGACATTCAAGCTTTTTGCCAAAAGGTGAAACAAACATTCAGAAATATGCCTTTTATTTGCAGGTATAATAAATTAGGGAACCGTATCATCTATTTAATAGCAACCTAAACTTTGAAAGCAATCATATAAACAAAAAAATAATGAAGTTTTATACAGCCGCTGAACCATCAAGTGACTTCTGAAAATTTAGCTCACTGTGTGGTGGATTATATTTTTTTGCAAGATGTTGACATGCAGTGGAAACTATGTAAAACACAAAATTCAGATTAAAACATTATTTTTATGCACTGTATCACTTAGTGTTTTCACCATGGTGTAATAAAGTCAAATATCTGAAAGTATAGTCTAATGTGTTATTGTGAGGAGGAAAAACTATTTATATCACCTACAAAAATACAAATTTTAGTCACTGCAACTTCAGGTTGCCTCAGCAACAAATCAAAACAGTAACATGGCAAACCATTAATTACTTTTTTGTTAAATGTGGGCTGTACAATGCACTTTTGTACATAAAAAGCAATTCTATGGCCTTGCTCATACAGAGGTTTGTTGTCCCTTACAGCTGACAAGGCAGTAGCAAGGATGAAATGTTTTAAGCTTCTCTTTGCTCCAACATTTGATCCCTCGACACAGGCGGCTTTTCATAGGCTAAAAACAACAGATGAAGGCCCTTTGAGGAACCTCCAACAGAGCTAAAGTCAGTTTAATAAATTACATTCATCATAAAATAGAAGAGAATATTGAGAACTTTAAACGTGTTCGTAGCTAAAGTTTAAACAAGTAAAATATCCAAGTATACTCCATATATTCCATCCAATAATGTGTAAAAATTTTCACAATGAAAATACATAATGAAAATGTTAACAAATGCAACATCTCTTGGTGGATTGTCTGAGTTAATCACACACATGTGGACACACAATTTAAAAACATACCAGTCACTTGAAAAGACAGACAGAAACATTAAAGGAAAAGGTTGATGTTTTCACACACTGCAAAACAGGGAACTAAAACTTATATAAAAAGATGTTCAAGAGAACATTACATATGTTAAACATCAGTTTTGTTTTTCACTTAACCAGACACAATGCCCACTCTGCCCGTTTTAAACACAGTCAGGTAATTGCATATTGTGGTATCAATCATACACAACTGCACCAAAAAGTCTAATTCCTTATATTCTATTTTACTACATATAGTATTTTACTGCGCATTTAACTAATTAGGAGACATCATCGGAAACTACTTTATCATCTTAAATGTGAAACGAAATAAAATTAAACTGGATATTCATTCTTATACATAGTACATACAAATGTGAGTGAATGTCACATGAATGAAAATTAATTATAAGACTAAATCTAAACAGGCGAACACAACATACTAATGCACTGACATGGCATTGCTAAACATTTCTTTCTAAATGTGAGTTGAGTCGATTTAATTGAATGATTTTTCCCACAAAGCCTTTTAAATATGCTTAGATGTAATTGCATGCACAATTCTTTAGGCACTTGTAACATTCAAATAATACAGTACTGACAACTGACTTTAACATCAAGACTAGCAGTGCACACACTACTCAACTCGAACTTTATAGTATCACAAGAACTTTAGTTATGAGTAGTAGTATTCCAATACCCTTTTATTGAGTTCATTATAATGACTGTGGAGGCTCTTCCTAAAAATGTGGTTTGCTATACAGTATCTTCAAGTTGAACCAGGGGCTGGTTTCCCAAAGATAATTTAGACTGGTTTGTAGTGTTAGGCCAATTAGTGAATTATATTTGGTGTCATGCACATGCATGTGGTGCCCAGCCCACATAACTTCCAAGACACCAAAAATACCATTGCAGTGATGATACATTTGTCAGACATTAACTTTACTTCTTTCGATAGCTAATGGTAATGTACCTGAAGGTAAGTGCGTACAGAGATCTTTGACTTTTGGCCAAATTCTGCTTTACATAAGACTCTACACTGTAGTTGTTTTTCATCAGACAATATGTCTGAAAAAATATGGCTCATCATTTGTGGTTTGCAAATAATGTTGTGGACTGTTTAATGATAAGAAGAAGAGTTTTTAGTGACTGCAGTAATCTGTTGAAAATATACAGCAATGAGGACATCTTCATTTTGTTTGCCCCAAGAGAGTATCCTGAGTCTGACTGATGAGTTAGCCACATTAAAAGCCGCAGCATCTCAGATCTGCTACAGGTCTGCACTGCATTGACATTTTATAATAATAAAGAGGTGTTTGTATTGTTATACTCTTCACTGAATATTTCCAGTAAAATGTCCTGTAACTGACAAATTCTTTAAGCAGGCAAACATTTTCTGCTGAGCAGTTTGATATAGTTACTCAGTCAGCCATGTTTTCTAGTTTGTAAATACACCCGGAGTTAATAGTACATTAGTCCTACTTCATACAGACAAGAAGTAGAGAGCTTTGCTCAATGGATGAATTTGGATATCTGTCTGAAGTCTGACTATTATAGGTTTGATCTAAGCCAAAGTCAAAGTCTATCTTTGTGAAATCTGCCCCAGAATTGAAAACCATCACATGGATACATCAACAAGTCAAACATCACCTGGACCAATAATCCAAAAGAAGAGGGGAAAATGAACAGTTTGAATCACTGTTGCTTTACTACCTTCAAGAGAGAAAGTATCTGTAGAAAATAGGTTTTATAGAATTTTGTGCCAACAAACATAATGCACAGTATACGCAATGCAAAGGCACACCAGGAGGTGGAGCACTGATCCTGTTTTCTGGGGATAACAGGGCAAAGAACCCAGATTGACTACCCCAGAACTTCCATAACCCTGCTGTCACGTTACATTTTTACAATGTGGAGTTTAAAGTTAAAATAAGTGCTTTCACGAGTTATATTAAAATAATTAAATCCGGCACTAGATAAACAATCATTAATGTGAAAAAAACTTTCTTAGATTATATAAGACATTCAAGAAGGAAAAAATAGTTTGTTGCTCAATATTATGTTGATAATAATATACGACCACTTTACACATGGCATTAACATGTTCTGTCTACACACTGAAAACTGATCTCAGATTAGGTGTGTCGTGATCTCTTACAATTGTCAGTAAAATACATTTCTGTCTGATTTCAACATGTTTCATGGTTGAATTTATTCAGAAAGGTTAATTTTTATTTATGAGGCTCCAATATTCGAATTTGAGTCAGACTGCATTTCCGCTCATTCAGAAGGTAAATGCACCTCAGATCGTGTCAGAATTGGGTTTTGGAAATAGAAACCAGGATGTTTTGCACATTACTGAGGATGTATGTTAACTCAGTTGCAAAGGCATGTACATACAATAATCTTCTGTGTTATTTCTCTAAGACAGTATAATCCTAGTAATTGAGTTATGTAATTTATTTTTATAGATAAAAGTAATGTCTACACATTTTCCATCAGTGATGTTATTAGCATGCAGCTTGTATGTGTTGTGTGGGGTTAACAGAGTATTTACAGAGCGGCTGTTTGGGACCCTTAACAGCAGCAACATGGCACTGACTCCTGTTTCTGGTGGTTACTTGAGGATGATCTGTTTCAGAGGCAAAAGACAGTCACTTAGTAGTTTCACACAATAAATATATACTTGGGACAAATGCGTTTCGTTACATGACAAAGATCATCAATTGCTCATCAAATTTTACTGTTATAATAGATACAAAAATGATAAGACTAAATGGAATTAATACCTGAACATCTTAAGCTTGTGATAATGGCCTTCAAATTCCTCTGAGGTTTGGGTAACGCTCAGGTGCACAAATGGATCCACCAGTAGGAGGATAATATTGTTTTTGAAGACCAACTACTATTTTGTTGCAATAATTTATTCCTCCCTTAACATTAGAACTGCATACTGAGTAATGAAACAGACACTGACACCAAACAAAGCAAAAAACATGCAATAAAGAATATGTGCAAAACCACTGTTTGCAGATGGAAGACCTCTGTACAAGTGTTGTTTGTCATAAGGGAAAGGGGTGAGATGCAGCCTAGTAGTTCTACTGAAGGTCTACAGGTAAATGAAGCTTAATGATAGGCAATGCAAGCAGGGCAATTCTACGCTGACAAAGCAACTCCCCTGATTTAAAGATGAAGCACTTCCTCAGAGCTCAAGGATTTATGACAGAAAGCTTTAAAAAGGAGCAAACCTGATTGGCTGTTGCTGTTGCTGCGTAGGGGACACTTGTGGCGGGAGTAGTTGCTGCAGAGACAGTAGCAGGCGTAGCACTGTACATCATGGGGACTTTTTCAGGAAGGGAACCATGAAAGCAATGAAAAGGGAGGTGGAGCATTATGGTAACCATAGCAATGTTTTTCTCTCTCTCTCTCTCTCTCTCTCTCTCTCTCTCACTCTCTCTCTCCCTCTTGCCAAGCAAATATAAAATGAAATTAGCAGCAAGCCATCATTAGGTTAGACCAGCAGATGGCATACGATCACACAGCAAAGCGAGACAGCAGGGGAGTTCACAAAAGGACGGCTGATAAGAGATAAAATTAGGAAATCTGTCAATAATTTGACATCCCAAAAGAGACAGCATGTACAGCAACAGTAGCAGACACAATAAAAGTGGTTTTAAATTATATTTAAGGAGTTTTAATTATAAAAAGCATTTAAGAGTATAAAAAACACTGAAGTGAATCTCAGGGATGCTGATCAAATTTCCTAATCCATGATGCATGGCACTTCTACAAACAAAATCCACCAAAATGCTTATATTTGTATACTATGCTTTGGCTATTTGGAATAATGTTAAAAGCAAGTATATATAAAAGGCTTGGTGATCAAAACAAACACACAAATATGTAAGGTGATTAAAAATATCTTTAGAGAAAAAGTTATGTAATGTGGATTCCTAATAGTTGGAACCATATTCAAGCTTTTGCTTTCCTATGGTGTAACAACGAAAATGTCTTACACAAACACAGTAATTACATTTCACCTGTGTTCTCCATTGTTTATGAGACATAGTGTATAGAAATTAAGGAAGGCACCTACCAATGTTGTTAGCAGGAGTCATGCAGAAGACAGAACCTGTGTGATTATCAAATGGAAAGAGAAGGTGTATTTTAGTGTGACTGACACATGTGAAAACGATAAGAACTAGAGTGAGCCCAGATTATTACATTTTTAGTTTAGTGAATGTACACTAAAAAATGCCCATAGAGTTAATACAGTAATGTTTTCAGAAAATTGCTGGCTAAATCAAGCTGAGTAACATACTACAGCTATTTGTAAATGCAAAGCAAGGAGACACATCTCTACATTTAAGGCTAAAAAACTGAACACATTTGTATTTTTCCACCTCCACTTTCCTAGAAGCCACAGGAAAGAAGAGAATTTTGCTGGAAATGCAACTGATCACTTCCATGTAGTGTCTAAGAAATATTTCAGAATGCAAAAAGAGCTTATTTCACACCAGACATTTTACAGGCATTTGTTGTTTGCCATAGCAGGTAGCAGCAGCTGTGTTGCACCATTCACTTTTACTTAACCTCTTCTGTCAGAGTAAAAAATGTTCCACAAAAGGGGAAGGGTTTGCAGACAGTTAAGAGACAGGAGTCAATAGTACAAATATGTCTTTTGTGTTAAGTTTTTGTCCCTTTGGCAACCAAACTAGCTTACTAATGAGTTGGCTAACTGACTGTTAGTCAGCTTCTTTGTTCAAAGAGCTCATTTCTCTATTTAGTAAAATTTTATTCAATGAAATGGTGTGTAATGGTGAACAAAATCTCAGGGGAAAGTAAATAACAGAAGAGAGCTGTCTCTGGGCTATTGTGACTGATTAGCCAGGCAAGTGAGTTAATGTTACCTCGTCAACCACAGCTGTTCACTAATAAGCGCTGCCCTGTGAGTATTCACCAAGCATCTGATCCTATATATTTTGTGTAGATGAGTGACTGTAGAGCAGATGCATTGTTAATAATATGAGTAACAACTGTGCTTTTTGACTATGAGAATTCAAAATGTCTGCTGTGAAAAAGGTCTGCGGTCAAACTCTTTAGGATCAGGATTAAGAGATATTTCATTTGAATCATTTCATTCCATGAGCAGTGTCATTCTGTAACACAGGCAGCTGCCAAGTTGTTAAGTGATTTAACTACTTTTACATGGAAGGTTGTATAAAGTGCCAGTTTAGCTTTGAATACATAACAAGTTTAAAGATTACCTGTGGGATAAAACGCTGCAGTGGGCTGCTGCAGCTGTGCATTGGCCAGAGCCTGTTGGTAGTGCAAAAAACTGGGACTGAGGAGAGAGCTGGTCCAGCTGCTCTTCTCAAGAGCTTGTCTCTTTGGTAGGGGTTGTAGGACGCTGTGGGGAAAGGCCTGAAAAGTGACAGGGGAAAACATAAAACACTAAAACCTCCCAGCTTTACCCTCTCTCTGTTCAGCTGCATTTTACACATTCTTAATATTTAGTATTCACGACTACAACTACACAAATACACAATAAAGGTGACTGTTATCACATGATGGAAAAAAAAAAATCAAGCACAGTTGTAGAATACAGATATGAATGGAATAATGTATTCATCAATATTTAACAAATATCTGTAAACTTAAAGGGGCTATTTGTAAGTTTTCTTTGCTGCTGAGCATGTTTGCTTGCCAGTAGTGGGTGGTGGTGATAGTCGCTTTCCAAGAGCCTCAGGTGTCAATGTGTTTACAATACAAGAAGTTATCATATGCCCTCTAAGCAGCACTCCTTCTTCAGGGCAGACTGGGCACTACAGTGACTCGGTATAGGAAAGCGATGAGACAGGTCAACTGGGCTAGGGTTAGCTGGTTAGCATGCTAACCAGTAGAAGAAGTGATAGAAATAGAAGCAAAACAACTGTCAACACTGGCGTTGCTTTCTATGACTGGAGACAGCTCTTGGCGAGTAAAGAAATGAAGTTTGACACGGCGCTCCCAACATTTCTTCTAGACTGATAATTAAACAGCTGTTAATGCTAACGTTGGCTATGTAAGCAAAAGTAAAACTTACAAATAGCTCCTTTAAGCACTTGAAGATACTGATGTTAACTGTGTACACAAACACTATATGAAACTTGAAGAAGCCACAGTGACAAAAATTAAAAGTTTTTACAGTACAATTAATAGCTACATGCAAAGCAAAAGGTGAAAATACCAGGTCTACAGTTGCCTCGAGGGGTCGCTTCATTGCTTTGGCAGTCGACTGAGTCTTTTAATAGCAGGCAGCGAGCACATGATGGCAGTGGGCCAATGGGATTCAAGCGTATTAACATACAGGTAACAGCAAGCAGAGGTGCATCATGGGGGACAGCATTGTGGATAGGTGAGAAGGGGAAAACAAAACAAAATAATCTGAATGTAGTATACCACATAAAACACAATATGCATGCACAGTAACCAAAAGAACTGATTGAAGGAAACACTGACTTAAGATTCCTGAATTAGTAGTTCAGCATAATCAGTAGCTTTGGCAACCAAGATTTACAATGATATGGTACAATCCTGTACATCCTTTATATTGTATATTGATCACCTTGTTATTATTACTTGATCAGAGTTTTTCATTATGATCAAAACACTACCACTACTTTGATGCAATCAGTGAAACTATGCACACAATGTAATTTTGTAATAGATACACTGATTATACACATAAAAGAATAATGTAATGGACAGCAAGCACAGAATCTTTTAATGTTGAATGAAGGATGACTTGGTTTTATGAGAGCTAGCCAAAAGCAACATCACCAGTTGAAAAAAACACATGAATCTAGTGTCATAAACCACAGAGTGTGGAGCTCCATTTACTACACCCACACTCATTTTTTGAGTGGACTGGCAGGTGCCTCCTCTATGTGTAACTCTAAACAGTTGTTTTTAGGTATAGTTATGTTTTTCACTTTTGTGTGCTTAAAATACAACCTGAAATGCATGCAACAAAAATATGATCTAAGTAACTATAAAAAAAATTACATACATGAAAAAAGATGCAGATGGTATATGGATGGCAAATGAGCACAATACTGACACATGGCTTCAGTATAAAATCAGGGGACATGGGGGCATATACTATACCACTACATTAAATGTGCCATTACAAATGATAGTGCTACATATTTAGGCATTTAATGGCAAACACTGTGACACCAACCACCTCCATTTTATTAACAAGATAATGTGTTTTCTGATCATGTATATTTTGCAAACTAGAAAATTTTTCAGTTGTCAGAAGGATAAAGGCTGTGTCTTACCACGGCTGCAGCTGCGGCCTGGGCTGTGATGGCTGTCTGATTGACTTGTTGACTGGATTTGATTTTGGCCTGCAAGTGTGCAGGTGGGTGAAAATACTTGCACTTCTCCCTGGAGCAGCGGCTCTTGATATAGTCCATGCAAACAGTGACAGTGTTATCAGTGGTGTCAATCATTGGACTGTCACTGGGGTGAGCAAAGCGGCAATCTGTCTCCCCTCTTGAACAGTTTCCCCGCTGAAATTCACGACAAACCTGAAAGGAGCAATTATAAAGACAGCAAGATTAATTCAGCTCTCAGCATTTGGCCAGATTATGTGGGTCTGCATAAGTACTGGTATCTTATTTATGTGAAATCACTCCTTGCGGCGAATGATTACCTCTAGTTTGTCTGTACGTTGCAGCTTCTGTGAGGGAGAAGAAGAGGAAGAAGAAGAAGAAGAGGAGGAACTCTGGACCGTGACAGGTGGGCTCCCAGGAACAAGAACTTGGGTGCTAGGGAGGATGTCTGAGGGAACAAGGCTCATTCCATGGCTCAAGGGTGTCATGTATGAGCCATAACCAAGACCAGTATTTGTGCCAAGTCCCTGTGTAACAGAAAAAGCTGACTTTGAGGGAAGGTGTTATATTATACAAATGAGACAAGCACCTTCATATTACACATAATACTAATGGGTAGGATTCATGATGAGGACCTTACCACAGGCTGCAGGCTGGGTCCAGGGATCACAAGCTGCATCTGTTGGGCGAGTACGGCTGCCGCAGTCTTCTGCTGGATGAGATTGTTGCGCCCATTTATCTCCAACTGGGTTTTTAAGTGCGAAGGTGGATGAAGATACTTGCAGTTTTCTCTTGAGCATCGGCCCTGTATTCAGAGAAATTAAAAAAAGCAGAACCCTCAAGATCACAGTCCAGTAATCGTTATCTTGAAGTGTTACAGTTATTTTTTGAAACTGAGGAAAAAAAACTTTTTATCAACATAATTGATTAGGAAAATAAATGTCACGGCCATGACATTAAAAGTGTATTAACTTAAGTCTTGCTTTTATCAAAGTACTGTTACATTGTCCGAAAGGATTTTAATATGAGAACTGTTACAAAATAATGGTTACTTTTAAATGGATAAAACTGCCATTTTGAGAAATGAGAAATCTCGTAACAGTTGGATACAATACGCAACTCTCACCTCGACCTCCACAACTATACTTTTTACCATGCTACATAAAGGAAACACCATTTTTTATATTGGCAGTGAACAGTAGCTTTGGACATAAACGGTTTGCTGCAGAGTGATCCAGTATAAATGTAATATACTGAGCTGTAAAGGGTATGATTGAGATGAAGACAAGTCAGTTATTGATTCTACAGTGCTCTCTTTACGATTACACTGTAGCTGTTATGAGAGAAGTTAAGACCAAGCTGACTGGCTACATGAGACATCCCTGAGCTTCCCAGCCGTGAGCATAGTGGTGGTTTGCCTTATAGTTCAAACAGTCAGATTATTAAGCTTGAGTATTACTATCTCTTTTTAAAACTTCAAAATGAGCATACCACATTGTTTCTGCTAGTCAGGCATCTGTATTAACCTTATGAGAGGTCAACTTCCTCTGTCCTAAATATTCAAATCCATTCAAATTATATATTCAATTACATTCAATGTAGCTTTATTGGTCATCAGTGTTTCATTACTCTTTATGAAATATTGTAAAACAGCGCCAACAGAAATAACTTATGGTATATACACTACTAACCTCTATGCTTTAACAGTATTTAGCTTCTTTCCAGTTTAGAGAGGACAGTTTTGTGAGGACTTCTAAGGCCCTGTTCAGACCTGGCATTAACATGCATCTTGGCTGATCCAATCACAAGTGGACAGCTCTAAGTACATCAGGTCACACCTGGCATAAAATGCGTCTCCACATGCGTCTCGAATGACCACTTGTGATCGGATCTCACTTCCCTACTCTATATGCAAATAAACATATACGCTGTTGTTTTTAGCCAGTCCAAGTATGACAGTCAGATCTGTTGTCAATGTGTTTGTGCAAGGGAGAGAGAGATAGAGAGAGAGGGAGGGAGGCAGAGAGAGAGACAGAGAGAGAGAGAGAGAGAAAGAGAGAAAGAAAACAGGGCAAACAAGTGAGCGAATCAATGCACTGTGCACAGCTCTATCCATTTGAAATAGTAAAATATTTTCGGTTCATTATGAATTATGGCGGGAAAAATCAAATTGTAGCAGAGGACATCAGGTCAGTAAGCGGCCCTTTTATGTGGCCCACGACATATTTATGTTCACACTGCTAAAAGAATGCAGCCACACGTGGCTCAGACCACCTCCAGATGTGGTCTGAGTGATCAGACCTAAAATGGGTCCTCAATGCATCCTTGGTGCATTCAGACCTGTACTTACAATTTTCCACTTGTGATCAGATCACCTGAGACAGATGTTAATGCTAGGTCTGAAAAGGGTCCAAGAGATATAGGTTGCATAGATGTGGTTCTGACTAAAAGAAATCTCCACAACAATCCCTGCTACTACTGAAGTTTACTGCTTGCACTGCTGATTGATGAGCAGGTTCGCTCACTTGTCTTCACTATAAAAACACTCATGAGAAAAAGCCACAGGAAGCTTGTCTGAGCTAAAAAATACTGTCTTTACAGAGTAAGAGATGAGCGGCTGACATCCTTCACTTGTGCCTTCCCTTCTCAACAGACTTTGTTTGAAGTCATGAGAGACTAATTACAACACCAAAGCATGTGCACATTCTTTGGTATAATAAAGTTAACTCTGTTAGGAGTCATTGGTGAATGGCTAGAGAACTGTGACTTTAAGAAATCACATGGCAATAACATCCCATCAGTGGAGAAGCCAAAACAGCTAAGTAAGAGGAAAACAACATTTGTTTAAAAAGCACAATTTAGGCAGCTAGCTATATTTGTGTTTTTATAAATAAAGACTGAGTGTGAATAGCAGTTAGTATCAGCTGAGCTGACAGGACAGTAGCAGAGATGTCGGTAACAGATATTTAATAACTCCTTAGACAAAAGCCTATTCATAAAGAAGAGCTGTGACATCATCACATGACTGCAACAGCTACAGATTTTCTTGCTGACCTCTTCTTTCCATCCTCACACCAGATTAATTCCTGTGTCCTCAAAATAGTATAAAACAAAGGTTGATATTCATTCACTTGGTTCCTCTAGAAAAATCAACATCTCTATCAGTTATAATTGTTCTATTGTTTACCTCTAATTGTTTATTTATAAAAATGCGCCAAAATTAAGGTAGTCTCTAGTGAATCTATTTTTGATAATTGATTATTATCATTTAGCACTTTTAGAGTAAAAATGCCAAATGCTCTCCAGTTCCAGCTTGTAATTTGTGAAGATCTGCTGCTTTCATTTGTCTTATGTGGTTATAAATTCAGTATCTTTTGGACTATTGGTCAAATAGAACTGGAAATGTGATATTATCTTGGGCTTTAGTAAACAGTGACAGACATTTTTCACTGTTTAATGGCATTTGATGGACTAAACAATTAATTGATTAAATAAATAAATATTTGGCAGATGTATCAATAATGAAAATAATTCTGAGATACAGTTCTTTCATTAAAGAGTTTAAGCTGTATATTTCAAAATCAGGGATGCACAGGGAAATATTTTGTCAGTAAAACTGATTCAGGTCATTAAATGTAGAGACTCAAATAATACAGATTGCTGATCCAACACCTTATAATAAAAGTGAAAAAAGGATTTTTCTTCAGAATTATCTCATGTACAGTATTAACTAAATTTATCAGGGTTAAATTCCAAATCAATGCAGTGCATGGTATCACTAAGCAGTAACATACTGCAGATGTCTGACCTAAAAATGTCTGTAGTGAATCTCATTATGGTTACAACTTTCAAGCAAAACAAGAAATGGTTATATTTGTTGTTGTTCATCAGCATGACATAATGTCAGATAGTTTCACCGTCACGAAAGAACAAACTGGAGCAAAGCTGTTTCATTACACAGGAAAGTTACCCAGTTTCTACTGTGAAGGGGTGTTAGACATTAGGCATAATAATGACAGACAGTGAACCGTGTAACTTTCTGACCCCACTGTACACTGGCACAGATAAATCTGCTATGAGCTAATATGGGTCTAGCCGATTTCAAAGCATTTTGAGATCTTTAAACTATCTCTAAGCTAAAGTTAGTTAACTTCATTCAAGACAGTAAAAACAGGTTACTCATCTAAAACAACTTGTAGCCGATAACAATCCTTCTATTAGAAGGAGGTGAGTTGAGAAAGAAAAATGATAAAGATCTGTGGCGCAGTTTTGATCAATTCATAGATACAGTTAGCTCAAACGGCTAAAAATATTAATCAACCCTGTTGCTGTTTTCTGAGGGAGTTTGAGTTTCTCATCACAAAAGGTAGTTTTAGAGGTAAAAATTGGTATCACATTCATCTGACACTTCCCATTATTAACGTCTGTAATGACTGGTTACTGACCCTTAAGTCTAAGCTCATTACTTCTCCTCAATAACCTACTTAACAATATTCAAGATGAACAATTAATGTTGTTTTTAGATAAAAGAATAAGGCTGCTACTTTGTGTTAATACTTTCAGGCCCTTGACCACCAGGGCACAGACAATCTGTGTATAAACTGCCTACAGTGAGGAGATAAGACGATGACTCAACATGAGAATAATCCTGGGGGCAAAGCTGTATTGTGGTGTGATAGTGAATGTGTGAGAGTGGATTAAGTCAACCCTGGCCTCACACAGGGCAACAGAGCAAACAGGAGAATAAACTGGCTGAAATCCGACTGGCTGCCAGATTTAATCTTAAAAAAGATAAGTGGTAAGAGTAATATCTGACTGATATTTTACTCTGTTTCTATATCACATCCCAGACTTTGTTTCTACCTAAACAAATATTAGTAAATATCAAATATTGAGTCTGAAATCAGACTTTCAAGTAGTTTAACACTACTTGAATGGGGCTTGAATGGGATCCCACTGTACATGTGGAGGAAGAGGAGGAGAAAGACTGGTAGACCTACAGGTTTATAATTGTATTTGACGGGATGAGCTAGCTACATGACCTTAAAACTGGCAATCATATTCTTTTGAACAGAACCAACAATTTGAGCAATTTCAACAATTTAAAAACCTTTCAAGGAAAGCAAAAAGGGTTGTAAAATAATAATGTGAAACAGGATTTTTTTTTTTTACTTATATCTGGCATAACACAATAGAAAAACCATTCACTCAGGGACACTTTTTCATTTCATGGGATTTTTGTAGTTTCGTACTCCTTTTTACATGGGCAAAATGTTCTTACATTCACTAAAGGGTCATTAAGCTGTTGCAGATAATAGTGTGTGCAATATTTCTTACCTTCAGTGAGTCAAAGCAGGCAATAACTCTACCATTTTCAACTTGGCAGCTCTTCGGTGGATGAGCAAATTTGCATTCCTCGTCCCTACGAGAACAGTTTCCTCGCTGAAACTGTCGACAGACTTCCAGTGTCAGCCATTTTGTGTCTCTTACTGAAGAAATGTTCAATGCCATGTCCAAAGGTTTTAAATCATACATTAAATTTTAAAAGTCAATATTATTGTTCTGTGCCTCATACACTAAAATCTGTAGGTTGACTGTATGTACAAAGTCCTCTTTTAAGACAACCTGGTAAGTCCTCCATCAGCTGGAACAGAAAGATCAGATGGCTGAGAAATCACTCATCAATGGGAAACAACTGTAGATGTTTTTTTTTCTAGGTCAAGTTCAATTGTATATTCCACAACTGATGGTGTCCATAAATATCAGACAAGTGGGGGAAAGTTAATGCAGGCTTGTCACTGTAGTCATTCTCAGGTCATTCGTCTCCATCCTCCTATTCTCTTATATTGTGGGTCTATTTTAGCATTGATTTAGGTGGTGATATTGTACAAAGTGGTGGTGAAGGGCTTGCAGCTGAGGTATGCTGTGTTGGTGCTTGAGTCTGGCCTTAAAGAAAGCAGATACAGACCAATGTACACGGACCAACTTCAAGTCGGGGAAATCTTCTCAAAGGCACTTTCTATTGGTGATCTGAAAGACAAAAACACATGTATATTACTGACATTGTATTCAAATACACATTATTATCATGGCATGCAATGTAATGTCTTATTTTTTCTAGAGACAGCTCATTCTCTAGAGTCATCTGTTTTTTTGCAGTTTACAGCAGAAAGCAAACAGCATCAAACAATATCAAATGTGACTTTGTGTAATTAGTAAAGCTATATGTAGTCTTGTCAGACTCTCAGGAGACAAGCCAAATGCCTTTTGGAAAGCAACCAGCCATTGTAGTTTGAAACAATCCTGTCCAATAAATTATTAGTGCCTCTAAATTCAGTAATTTCCTAATTAAAGAGACTAGAGTTGCAACAAATACTTGATTAATGCTGATTGACAGAAAATGAATTGGCAAGTTTTTTGATAATCATTTAATTTATTTAAGTAAAAACTTCTCTGGTTTAAGCTTCTCAAATGTGAGGATTTGCTGCTTTTGTCTCTTTTATATCATTGTAACTGAATGTCTTTGGGTTTTCTACTGTTGGTTGCACAAAACAAAACATCTGAAAACTTCATCATAATGAAAATAATATCGACAAGACTTGACAATCAAAACACCAATGGTAACAACAATAACAAACCAAGACTGCTGAAATGATAGAAATTTAAAACAGTTTAAAGAAGACAGAAATTTTAGGCCGAAGCTGTATTATAGCTTGATGAACAAGCTGCCAAACTAACATTCTGTGTCTTCGAGACTAACAATAGCCTGTGTCAAAGTCTCCTCATTCATTTCAGTGAGACCACTGTGTTGCACAGCAAGGGACTCAATGCAAGCGCTTCAACAAAAAAAAAAAAAAAAAAAGAGCATGGATAAGAACTTGGAAGCCCCCTTGCCCTTCATACTGGTAAGATATTAGAAATTCCTACTGTTTGCCAGCAAAGCATGCCAGACACAAGACACATGCCAGATGCAAAAAATCATATTGTTAGATCCCCACAATTCACTGTACAGTGTATAGACAGTGACAATACAAGATTTAATAAGTTATTTATCAGTGACAAGGGAACGTGAAGAGAGACCACCTTACATCTGCTTGAATTTTCCTTGAGAGTGATACATTTTTGTCAAAAGCCAATATTCTGTCCCCTCTATAAAGTCTAAAATTAAACTGAATATTAATATTGCCAGACTGACACAGTTAAACTTTAAACACCACAAGATACATAAATGAATCAGCAGAACGTTGATCATACAGTGTTATACATCTCATTAAAGAAACCAAAAACAAACAGTAACAAAGTCAGTTTAGCCACAAACTGGATACTTCTTCCTCATAATTTTGTGTGAAAAGCATCCACTGCATTGTTAAATTCAGTTAAAAACCTGTCTTTTTCCAGCCTAATGTTGTTAACAGTGGTTAATTAGCAAAGAATACAGATGCTCAATATTTTGACTGACCATTCCAAACTTTATAAAAGTAGTGATGGTTGTTGTGTAACGATACACGTGACACGGGGTCTAATATAAAGGCTAATATAAAATGTAAAAGATTTCTCCAGGCCATGTTTCTTCAGTAGAAATATTAGAATGTTAGAAATACAAAGCCACAATTGTTGTGCTAGCTGGGGATGTGTAGCTGGGTGGTGTCATTGTAATCAATAAATCTATAACAGTACACAAGCTCAAATCCATAAAACCATAAGATCTGGGTTATGCTACATTCGTAACAACTTTTGTTGATCAGCATTCACCAAAACAGATTGCCAATCAAAACTACATTTTATTTTGATCATACCTTTCATTGTATTAATTATTTCTCTACAGTCTACTTTCAAATACACTGCTACTCTCCACTTGCTAGCACAATGACATCAACACTTGGTGCCAAATTACTAGGCAGATATGTTGAGGCTAACCCGAATAGGGAAGCAAGACAAAGCTTAAACACACACAGTGTTGGGAGTTAAACACAGGATAGAATAGTCTGACCTGTACACCAAGTGGTAAAACACACAGGAAGTTGCTGAGCATGCAGAAAAGGTGATTAACCCATGAGTTGAATAAATCTGTGTGCGAGCTCAAAAGTTGTTCCACTGAGAGTAATTAACAAGGCCTACGAATACACAAAAACCCAAAAGGCACAGCTTTAGAATAAAAACTGCTGTTGGTAACCCAGATCTTCCACTGTAACAGCCTCTGAGCCTTACTGCATGCTATCCCACGGCATACTGCAGCAAATTCCTTTAGGCACAAGTCAGGAAACAGAGCAAGAAAACCTACCTCTCGCGTCATGCAGCATGAAAGAACTTCTGTCCCAGACCGAGAATCTAGGATAGAGCTACAACTTTTGAGAAGCTAATTTGTGAAGATGTTGACAACAACAACTGTTTTTATCCCCCCTCTTTCCAGAAGATTCAGGGACCAAAGATTTTCTTTTCACAACAGTAAAAACAGACTGTCTGTCCAACTCTGGCTGAAACGTTTCCAGCTATGTTTCCAGCCACCCCCTTCCTGCCTGGGTGCCGGCCTCCGGGAAGACCCTCCCAGTCAGACATTAGCCAATAGAAAACCAGAATCTGCTATACTGTGTGAAAGCTGGCTGCACAGCTTAGAGAAAAACACTGCTGGGAGTTGACACTTTATTTACAAACAAAATTTGATACTGAAATGGAGAAAGATGTTGTAGTAACATATAAGTTCACTCTGACATTTCCATCATGATATTATTAGTGCTGATGTTTTAAATATGAGTATTTTTCTAAATTCAGCATAGAGGACAGCTTCTTGCTGCAGATCTTATGATGTGTGATAGTGAAGTAAAGCATTTTGAGTATAGGCGGAAAGCATATTCCAGTATTTGAACAATATGCAGTGTATTTCACAGGAGGCAGAATGAGAAGATGTACACACTGAAGGGGTTTCAAAGAATTTATAGATATGATGGTGCTAAACTTTAGAAAAGTGCTAAGGTAGGGTTTGTGCAGGGTTGTCTATCTATCAATACTGCAAGATAATGTTATTTTGAATTATTTCATGATTTAAGCCTCACAAATGTAAGGATTTGCTGCCTTTCTTTTTGGTCATTTTATTTTTTTAAAGAGATTTTGAGGTTTGAACTATTAGTTGGACAAAAAAGGCACTGTGAGGGCTGTCACTTTGGGCTCTGGGTAATTGTGATGGCATTTCTCACTTTCTGACTTTTTACAAGCCAAACAAATCAACTGATTAATCTTTCACGTAATCCATAACAAAAATAATCATTAGTCGCAGTTAAACATAAAATAACTAAGTAAAAAAACTCCACCTCAATCAAATATAACATTTACATGCTGTTTACACGTGCACATGGTTAAAATAACCTAATTAATAATACACCAGTCACGGGGGGGCATTTTTCTTCTTGGAGTACTTTCACTTTTGATACAATACTTTTACTTGTAATGGAGTATTTTTGCAGTGGGGTAGTAGTACTTTTTCTTAAGATAAAAGATACTTAATACTTCCTCCACCAATGCTTATAAACTGCGACAGTCACCTAACCTCCAAGTATAGCATCATATTATCTTGCTTGCATAGTTTGTTACTTCGAAGGGCTGGTTTTGTCTCTGTTTTGCTTTCTCATCTCCGGCTACTTTAGCTAGCTATTCACAACCACATAGCTAGCAAGCTAAGTGAGCCGCTGTCATAAGCTAACATTTTACAGTACGTCCACATTAACATTTATTAGCTTATGTTAGCCTCACTGTTAGCCGAGGAGTGTACCTGCTTACCTCATCATCCCGGAGGATACGGCGATCACGCACCAGCTAGGGGAGACGACACGGCAGCTCAACTGAACTAACGAAAACAAGGTGACAAGTGTTCCCGAGACGTCAGTTCAACAACCCATTTTGCTCTTACTCTGTTCGCAGAATTAAAGCTTGTTATTCTGTCTGCGTGCCCGACGTCGTTTCTTCTTTACTTTCTGGCACTGCACAGATTTAAGCAACAAGCTTCTACCAGCTTACTGTACGACCGTCAGTTTGATGTGATGAGGGGGTTTCACGGGGTGCGCTGACTATCCTTCGACTGTCAATGATTTAATATAGGACAAAGATATGTAATATATATCAAATTATATATGATATACTTACATACTCATATCATATGCATTAAATTGATGTGAAGGTTTGAGTTATTGTCAAAAAAAGGGGTCATTCTATAATTCTATCTCATAACATCCCCCCCCCCTACGGATGCAAAGTGGTACGATCCACACGAATGCCAGTAGGCTAAAAGGGCAAGGGTTTGCTTGTTACCAAGGGAACAGCAATAAAACCATGTGAGATTTTCTGGATTAGTTTAATGACAACACGCTTTCACATATAAACATCAAAATAACGAAATGTAACAGTATTTACCAAAGATAGTGTGAAGTAAAAATTCTGCCAAATCATTTGTATTATAAATAATAAAATAGCCCATGTGGCCTAAAGAGTTTTGTATCCGTGTTAAGAATTAATGATAATGGAAGACTTTGTAAGAATAAACAAACTTTTAAAATGAGTAGGCCTATAAGAATCAACTGCGCTAACAATAGCCAAGCCTCTTAGGTCTGCTCAAGGTCAAATAAGAGGGATGCTAACCAGGTAAAATAAGACAGGATGAAAGGGAGGAAAGGGAGGTGAGATTTTGCTATCATGTTTAATAATATACCTCTGCAATGAAGATAAAAATACCATTATGTTAGAGCCACTTACATGGACATTCTGTCTTTTCTGGTTTGTGTTAGACTAGAGTACTGTGCCTCAGTTGTATGGCTAGCTGTTTTTTCCCCTTATCATTCATTTTGTAGCAAATTGGTACAAGGAAAGTATTTATAGATAGCACCACATTATCAGAACACGAAACAATCCCAAAGATCAGCTGCCTGTAATTTCATACTGTGACAGTGGTGGTCAGGCTCTATGAATGTGAAAACAATATACAAAAAAATTTGAATGCTTTAAGCAGCATGTCTGAATTTATTTAGGGAAAATTTAGTTAATTAGTCATTTAGTAGATTAATTTTAGTAATTAAACAGTGTTGTGACATCTGTGCTCAGCAGCTAGCATATAATTAAAAATGTGAATAATGTTATTACTTTTTTTTTTAGAAATAAAAAAAACCCACAACGGTGGCAACCATTACATTTTATCCATTCCATTACTTGTCATGAAATTATTTAGCCTCTGTTAGAGCTCATTTAACACACATTTACATACACATTCACCAGTTATGACTAATTTATTGATTCTCTTTTTTATGTTTCCCATGGCTATTTGGGATGGCAGCTTTCTCTGATCTGTCACACTGACAGATCTCTTCAACTAACTGGAGATGTGGCATCAAGTGCCACATAGAAAGGTCACCATATTGTTCCCTTTGGGGGAAATGTCACTGTCAGAGAGAGTCAGATATAACAACAAAAAGAATGCAGCAATCCATGCTTTCATTTCTTTCACCTGAATACTGTTTGTTGTTCACATATTTTGATATTTGCACTCCATTTGATATTATGTGGCATCATTTCACATCTGTGTGGCTTTGGTTGCTGTCACAATTTGGATTATTTTTTATTAGAAGACACACATATTTCTCTAAATCTTCAAAATCTTAATTTCGACTTAAGTTTGGATGATTAGTCACCCACAACTATCAACATTAATCCTCCTGTGTATATTCTCATTTGTCCAGGTCATGGTATCCTAAAGGAGTTTTTTTTATCAAAACGCAACTGGACTTTTGATTATTACAAATAATCAAAGTCAAAAAATCAAATAATCAACTTTTGATTATTACAAATAATCAAAGTCCAGTTGCGTTTTGATAAAAAAACTCCTTTAGGGAACATTAATCCTGTGCATTACTTAATCACTCCATACATGGAAAGTCAGATAACACTAACCATTTATGACGTGAACTTTTTGCCTATATTGCTTTTAAACATTTTCCTATTTGTAATTATAAAAACTATAACTCCAGAAGAATTATTTAAAATTCTGGAACTTTTGCTCACCATAATTAATTGTTGAGAGCAACGCTCCCATCTAGTGATAGAAAATTGCAAATTAATTGAAGGCGATCTGTTTTTTGTGTGTCTGAGAAATATACATGTTTATATAAGTGGCAGGCTATTTTCTACTTCATTTATTTCTATTTATTCCTGCAGTCATATACAAAACTTTTGAAGTCTTATGTGTTCATTATAGGAACTGATAGTCAGTTGAATAATTAGGTGAGACAATCCATGTAAAAAGTAGCAATATCATCTTATGGCCAGTAGATGTCAGTCTTCTCTAAAATATATTCTCACATAGTTTAGGATCCACGAGGCTCAACATGAGGGAGATGGTTGGCCTCAGAAACCCATCAGTGAGGTGTTAGGTTTGTCATGCAAGCTGTATCACATCTTGCACTCACCAAGGGTATACATTGTAGGTAAATAGATGACCTGCATGTTAAAAATGAGAATCAATACACCTCAGTATTCATTCCATTTAGTCCTGCTTGTACTATTCTCTGATCTGACCATCTCTACAGTGGTAGATGACTAGTTTTCATGGACCAGCCCAGCCTGGCTCAGAGAGACAAAATGAATGTGAATGGGAACTTTAGTAGAATCAAAATCACAGCAAATATTTTTATTTTCGTCAAAATATAATTTATTTTCACACCAAGGATACAGTTTGTTTTCAAACCCTGTTATCATATCAAGCATCAAGCATACAGTGTTTTTTGCAGGGCAGAATTGTGCTAACATTATTGGTCATTCAAATATAATGATAGATCTGATTCAGTGTTTTTTTTTTTGTTTTTTTTGTGTCATTTTGTTTTATTATGGTATTGAACAATAAAAACGCAGCTGAAGTATTTGAATAAAGTGTAGTGTTGGAATATGCAATCACTGCTGTTAATGATGTGTTCATACTAAATGTTTTAAAACTTATTTTCCTTCTGTGTACCAGTGTTTGCTAAGAGGCACCAGATTTTGTGCTGACAATAAAATCTCAGAAAGTAGAGCACTGTCTTCAAGCAATACTGTTTTTTTTCTTTCTTTCTTTCTTTCTTTTTTTTTTAAAATCAAGTTATTACACACATCCTACGGTTAAACATGGAAGATAATACAGTCATACCATCTGGGAGGAAATGACTTGCTGCAGTCGTTGGCTGAAATGCTGAGCTAGCCATCCATACTGTACAACCTGAGAGGAAGCAGAAGGTTGTGTATGCCAGTGGATACAGAGCTGTAATGTAAAGTGTGTCTTGGAAAACACAAGGTTATCTCAATATAAGCACTGAGGCACTTTGGTTTAATGGTGAAGAGGGGTAAATGTACTTTTCTTGTAATATTATGGCACTAATTAACACTGAATCTGTGATCTCATAACAGTAACATAATCAGTTTACTGCATTTCACTTCTTTTCAGGTAGTACCATATACAGTACCTATATGAAAAGTTTTGCTAATATACACTAAATTTGTTGCTGCATATTATCTTCTCTTAACAAATCATTATCTAGGCTATCAGAGTAAATGTCTGCTAGTATTTGAGTTGAAATCAATTAAAATAAGTGGATGTATCAAGACAGTGTGATATATATATACTGTATATATATATATATATACAACCACCATATGCTTGCATTGTTACTTTAGAATAAATTAAAAATATTCAGATGAATATGCACTGTGCACAGTTAGTAGAACTGTTTTTTTCTGAGTCTGAACTTACATTCTGTATAATTCCATCTTGACATTTTGCAAGATGAAAAAGTATCAGCAGAGCACTAATAGCAATATGTTCTGTCTCCATACTGTGAGAAGACAATGTTTGACAGTTTTTCTTTTAATTGGTTGACAGATGTTAGTAAATTACAGTCAACATACAGTAATCAAGCAGTAAAAAGGTGTAATATTAGTGCAATATTTACCAGATTTAGCGATAGACTGGTATCCTTCCCGTGGCTTTCCCAATGTATGCTGGGAAAGATTCCAGCCTCCCACACCCTGATAAGCGGATATAGCAGATAGATCTATCTTAACTATATGTCAACAAAATCTAGTACAGCATGTGTGCATTTGCTTTTTACAATGAACTGTCTACACAGTAAATATCTAGACTGAGAAAATAAAGGCAACAGGCGGCATGATGTCATGACCATTCAATGCATTTATTTCTGATATCTTATGCAGAATTCACTCTTTTTTTCAGGTCTAACAAGAAAGATGGCTGATTAAATATTACACGCCAAAAGGCTTTTCGACTGTTCATTTCATCACAAGACTTTTAACATGTACATAGAAATTCTTACACTAAGAAAGCTCTCTTCCATTATCACTGAGGTGTTGGTAATATTTTCCATCAGGCAAAGCCATTCTTTAGCAACAGTTAAAATCATATAAATAAACAAATAAATACAGATCAATCAGTTTCACAGAGAAATGCGCTTTCATGAGGTGGCAGTACAAGTTCATTGAAAAGCTCCTTTAACAAAGTGGCATGTCACACTCTTCTGGGAATGGCAGTTTAATTTCAAGTGAAAATCCATGTTGGCTTTCACTTTATTTACACCATAATCTGAGAGTTTTCACTTCTTTAACTTGGACATTGTTGGAAAGACTTTTCGGAAGCAGCTTTGCTGAAGCAAACATTTAGAAATCGCAGAAATAATAAGCCTAAATTTCAACAGCACACTCTCATTTTATTTATTATTTTTCAGTAGTTCAGACATGGAGTAGGCAGAGAGGGCTGATACAGATAAATCATAGACAGAAAGTGACAGTGTAACTGGGAAATAGACCCTAACCTCTGGAACCTCTTATTCATGATTTGATGAGATCCCACCCTTTCAAAAGTAAGTTTCTATTTACACATTGTTGATTATGCTGAGGCAATGAATGCACAGTTAATGAGTTTAATTTAGTCTACAATAATTCAGTGATCACACACACGCGCACACACACACATACACACACACACACACGCATACACACATATATAAAACTTGGGTAATAGCACATTTACAACACTAGAAGAAGTGTTTCATTAGTGTTTCATTAATAGCTGTACGGCACTTCTACTGCTCATGCAGTGCTTATGCCATCTGTCACTGGGGAACATTGTAATTCCTACAGCTTGTCACACAGCAGTGAAGCATGTCGGTTTATTAAAAGAAATTTCCAAAATAAACGGCCTTTTGGCAATTTCCATTTTAAAATGAAAAGTTCCGTGTTCAAGTAGCAATAGAATTAGCAGTAAATGCAAAACAGTGTAGGTTATATGTGATTATAGAAGTTCACAGATTTTTTTTTTGTCTGAGTAAAAGGAACAATATAACAATGGACAGACATTTTCACTAGTAGGAAAAGCACAAGTGTTACGAATAATATAATAATGATGGGTCTGTTTCGTCGCCTTCTGGCTAGGCAACTGCCAATTAAATCCAGTGGTTGAAAGTAACTAAGTACATTTACTTAAGTACTGTATGTAAGTTGCATTTTGAGGTACTTCCACTTTGTATTTGTATTTTATGCCACTTTATTCTGCTTCTCCTACTCGCTACATTTCAGGGGGATTTTACTTTTTACCTGACTACATTTATTTGACAGAGATATTAGTGGTTACTTTACAGACTAAGATTGTACATAAAACACATAATATGTTGATAAAATACAACACATTGGTGAGATTAAACCAGTGGTTGCCAATGTTTTTGGTTTGTGATTCCTAACTCTCTTCTATGTGTCAGATTTCAGGAAGCTGTTAGCGGTGAAATCTAGCTTCACTTCGACCAGCTATAACAATAAAATGCTGCTTGAACATCTAATAATGTCATATACAATAATATGTCTTTTCCTTGTAACAGAGCGTGTTGTTGTATCGGTACAGTTGGGACACCCACACAGTCCTGATGATGTATAGCTTTTTGAGGGTTAAAAGTATTATTATTATTATTATTATTCTCAAACATAGAGATTCTCATTAAGAAGAACATATAAAATGTATTTAATATAATTGGTTATTGTTAATGATACATCAGCATATAACCAGCAATTAAATGCTGCATGTAACCAACAACTATTGTCAAATAAATGTAGTGAAACTTAAAGTACAATATTTCCCTTTGAAAGGTACTGCATTACAAGAATGAAGTAGCATAAAAAATTATAACAAAAGTTCACAGTAATACTATGTATCCCAATTTACACATTTGGAGTTAAATCAGATGCTGTCAACATGCTGTTTGACTGCTACATTACAAATGGCTACATGAACATATTTCGTATTTAAACACAGAATGACTCAGTACTCAGAGCTCTAACTGATAGCATCACTTGAAACACTTGATGAAGTGTTATCAACGTGCTATACACCTTGTCTTTGTTCTGCCCCCATCCATCCACACACTCACTGAACTCATGCAGACCTAAATGCACCAATACTGCTCAATCAATCCTGTATTCATTCAACTCATTCACTGTACCAGTGGATGAATCACTCAAACAAGACAAAACACGGCTTATTCTTTAAAATGAAACAAAACTGTTCCATCTGAGGTATTTTATAAGTAACTGCAATCAGAGAAGAAACATGAGAAATAACCGTTGGAGCAGCAGCAGCAGCAGCAGCAGCAGCAGCTATATGACTTCAGTGTTGACATTTAGTGAACATTTAATTTGATAAGCAGGGATTTTGAGTGAATATGAGATAAGAGGCATAAAACACATCACTGACGCTTATTTAACCAGATAAAAGCAAGCCCTCTGTCATCCTCACGGATAGGCGTGCTGATTGGATTGGAGGGACTGGAAGCTATCGGGCAGGAGAAATGACGGGCATGTTTTATTTCACAACTATCTGCTTTGAGGCTGGTCTTTGTAGGGCTGGCACTCTGCTGGCATTAGAGCCCTCTCGCTGGCCACAGTGGAGTGGCCGTCAGCTCTACAAACATGTAAAAGCAGCCAGTGTGACGGGGAGGGGCATGAGAACTGAATGCTGATCATCTCATTTACAGTCAAGCCACACACCAGCCACACTGACACATTTCATCACCTGTACTATTTACCAACTTTTTTTTTATCTGCATCCCACTACTTCAAAAATGAATTACGCACAAAATATGCTTTTTTCATTGCAGACTACTTGTTTCCATTTCTCATATAAAAAAAAAAACAAACAAAAAAAAAAAACACAATGTTCTACTGACAGTATAGGGAAAGACCGAGGTTATTTTGTTCAGCAGGACGTCCCCTTTGTGACTGTGACTGGCTTTGTGACAATGTTGTCTTTGGGAAAGGTGTTAAAATCTGCAAGGTATTGCACTTAGAAAACAATACTGTATATATTGCACTCCAACCAAAATATCAGCATCTGTCTATAATTTGGCTTCAAAATGGGTACTGCATGCATACGACATTGTCCTTGGAGAGGGTTTCATTGGCATGAAATGAAAACAAATAGATATATTGTGTTCTTTATTCACTTTGGTTTACAGTACTGTATATCTTTTGGAAATAATTATCCTCAATTGTAAGTATAATGTGGATGTGTGACATGCAACCATGGGTTCTTCTACAACTACATCCTTCTATCAGTTGCAACAATGACAATGACTTCAATGACATTCTTTAGTTTTGCAGTGAATGCCAAAATTAAAAGAAATGCAGTCTATGGCAGCTCCTTTTGATTAGTTTTTTTTTTCTCCTCTCACCTCAGTTTCATCTCAGTCTTTTTCAACGAATGATAAACAACCAAGGCAAAAATTAAATGACAAAAAAAACAAAAAAAAAATTATAAACAGCATTTAAAGATTTAAGACACCAAAGGGCACTCCAAGGCAGAGCTGCTGTGAGACTCACAGACTTGGCAGTTTTCATAAAGAAACAGCAGAGCACTTGGATCACACTGAAGCTGAGAAAGATAGATGCAGGAGACAGAGTAATGGTGAGACAGAGAGAGAGACACAGATGATGTGTGCGAGAGAGAGAGAGAGAGAGAGAGAGAGAGAGAGTCAAAGGAAATGTTTCTTTTAGTCTTTGAGGAATCTCCATCAGGTGCTCTCTCTCTTACTCCTCTCTCTTTATGGGACCAAAGCTTCACCAGCGGGCCACTTGGCTTGTGTAATCCTCAGTGGTGGTGGGGAAGTCACCATCAGTCGCTTTCTCGAAACCTCCTCTCCCGCCTCTATTTCCGCTCACTCTGTGTTTGGGCGGCCATGGCCTGCCCTGCTCTCTTTGCTCCCTCAGCCAACGCCTCTCCTCGCGCCTCTTCAAACGCACTTCCTGGTGCTCCCTTTGGCGGGTGAACTGGAAACGCTGGAGGAACAGGTCCTTCGCGTACTCGTACAACTGCACGTCCAAGAAGTTGAGCTCCTCGATGCGTCTGCGCACGGGCTCGCTCAGGTCCACGTTGGCAGCTCGCGTGCTGTTGATCTGCGTGAAAGCGGAGATGAAACGCAGGCTGAACGTCCGCTCAAACAGGTACTGCGTCTTGCGTTGAAACTCAGTCAGGCCGTAGAAAGCCATGTTCTTCAAGTTACTCATGGCGCTGCTCAAAAGGATGTGGTTACGCTGGCTCTCGTTCATAGAGGACAGGTTGTAGCAGCCAACCAGGCTCAGGTCAGCCAGCATACGGACCTGGCGGTTATTGGCCAGGTTGGATGGGCAGTTCATGAACTCTGTCAGGGTGACACCAGACCAGTCGTCCCCACTGTAGCAGGTGGGCAGCTCGTCTTGGGTGGGCGAGCGTCCATCACACATATGGAGGGCTGTCTTCCATGTGGCTCCACGCTGGACGTGCTTCCACTCACTCAGGTAGCGGGAGACTGGGTCGCGCAGCATGGTGATGTAGTAGAAGTTCCTGCAGCCAAAACAAACACAGTTAGAGAGCTGTGAGCACATCATCATCACAGAGGGCTGCCCTGCATTGTGCTGACAGATGGTGACTTTTGTCTGTGTATGAAACTTCAAGGTTGAATGCTAATTGGCAAACTGAAAGTCTCACTAATGAGATTGTTATAGAATGTCTATATATTGCCCTTGAAAACTAAAGCCTTACATCAAAACAACGATTTTACAGAACTGGGCTAGGACAGTTTTCTTCCCCCACAGATATCTGCCACCTGCCATGATGGACAATAATTGGGAATTAAGCCATGATCATAACCGTTGGACATAGAGGAAGTGAGTTCAAATGACCCAACTAAATCCCAAACATGTCACTGATACAAAATAATGAGGATTTCGTTTTTGTAACGCAAATCTGCTAAACTTCTACCCATCCTTTGTCAGCCAATCGCAGCAGGGCATTTTGCAGGAGAAAACACATTTGGCTGGCATTTTGGCAGTGTAGAACTGGTAAATGAGCACTATCCTTATATGTACACACAATTACCTCTCCCCCTCGGAGTGAATACGCCGAGAATCATCGCTAAAGAACAGTCACTGGACATGGAAGACAAACGAGGAAGCTGAACTTCATCATTTAAATATGATAAAGCTTTTTGGCTGGAGAAGCAGTTTCTACCATAAAATTAATAGCAATATTACTAGAACAAAAAACGCCGAAAAATATCAAATAACAGCAAGGGTATAATTTATGTCTGATTCTGAAGTTGATATTTTGTTCGGGAGTGAAGCTACATCTGCCCTTGATGGCCAGGTTGAGGACCTTCAAAGAGATCCGCTCTGCTGAACCACAGGTATGTCAGAGCGCATTCTGATGGAAAACAAAGATTGGACAGGTGTTAGCCAGGTAAACCTCTCCTAAGATGAAGTCCTGTGAGTGCCATGTGAATATTTAATGATGCGACCCCCCCCTTCCCTAGAGAGCAGTCTGGGCAGATAAAGTGGAGTGTGGCACTGAGATTTCCCACTGACTCCAAAGCTGCTCTCAGTGCTGCATCAGTTGCTTTAACACAGCAAAAACATCCACACAGACTCACCCAGAAGTGGAAATAAAAGAGCTTCACAAACACACTCCCCTGTGCTCATACTTGCTTGTCCTTCAGGGTTGGATTCTGAAATTGTGCACTCAGTAGAATATTTTGCCCCAACTTTATTTACTTCCTGTTCAATTTTTGTCCTTACTTGTCCTGAAAAATGAGCTGTATGGACCCACTAATAAAACACTGTGATTACATCATGGGAATGATTAGAGGTTAAGTTGAGGAGGGAAATCAATTTTAGAGCTGAGAGTCAATTAAATGATTAGTCGATCAACAGAATATTCATCACCAGCTGTTTTGATGACTGATTAATCACTTTGGCCTGTTTTCAAGCAAAAACTTAAATATTCTCTGGTTGTGGCTTCTCCAATATGTGGATTTACTGCTTTTGTTTGTGTTGTGCGATTGCACATTTGGTACCTTTGGATATTTTTCGGTGTGAGATAAACAATTAATATATTAATTGAAAATTGAAAACATTTGTGTGTAATGTTTTTTTTTTTTTTACCCATGATCTACGCATTTCTCTAACCTCAACCTCGTCTAGTCACTTTAACCCAAAACTTAACACTGGTTTAGTGCAGTAACCACGCATAGGATGATATGCATGGTATGAATCAAACCTTTTCTTTGATATCACATTGATGGACGTGGTTTGAGATGAGCACACACCATTAACAGGAAAATATTTGGGTGTATTTTTGTGCACAAATAGTAATATTATCTGTCTGTACCAAAAATATGTCTTGAGTTTATCTGGAGATTTGTCCAAACACTGCCGCGAGAATGCCATCACTGACAATGTTACCCAGTGTGAGTCAGGCAAGAAGCTGTGATTAGAGCCCTGGTGGCAGCAGCTGTATCCTGGCACTTGCTCCTGGAGTTGGCTGACTGCAGATACATCCTCATTAGACTGTCTCTGGGACATAAACACATGCAGCAAGTGTTGTTTGAGTGCACTCGACAGCCCAAAGGTCAGTTGTGTGCACCATCAGTGTCAAAATGCATCAGCATCAACGGGCCCGTGGAGCTGTCTTGAGGAGGCTTTCCCGGAGTGATACAGATGGCTGTCGAAGAGGGAGGGGGCAAGCTAACAGGCCTCTCTTACCTCTGGCCTGTGTTATCATCAATACCACCCCTACAGTCATTTCACACTCACTATCAAAACCACTGTGAGAAGTTTACCGTGATGCTGTTTTCCAGTAAATGTTATTGTTATTGTAAAATCCACAGCAAATACCATTGGAAGCAGCTTTGATAAGACTAATATTGTACTGTTTTGTATGGCAACGCTGTGACAGAGCCACATCCCCTTCCAAAGATTTTTCCCTGCCTATTTTAGTGTGGTGAAGTCGAGAACCCAGCTGAACTCTAGTTAATCATGGATCAATAATGGATAGGAGGCACATCGCAACTTATCCTGCCCCAGAATACTCATCTCTACAGCAGCAGCACATCAGCCAGTCTTTACTGGAGCACAAACTAAATAGGGGTCATTAAACAGAGATGGAAGAGGAATTCGAAAGTATGGATAAAAATGGAAACTAAAGCAAGGAATGATGAGTAGAGCAGATGAATGCGCGGCTGCAGATAGGAATACTAAAGCTTGGTGTAATTTAAATAGATGCAGTTAATGGATACGGCTAGCTTTTGATAAATACATGGATGGAAGACATTTTTGATAGTTATGTCATTAAAGCAATATTACAGCAATTTGAGATGACACATTTTTTTCAGTTATAAACTAAAGAGCTACTTTGAGCATTAAGGAAACAACTCGCACCAATCACAAATCCATACTACTTACTAATTCTAAGCAGGTTTTTAGTGTGTTTAAACTGGAAAACTGCCAAACAGGTACACTCAAAAGTCAGTGTGCTCACTAAAAAAATCATTCATTCTTGAGTGTGCTGTTGATAGACACTATTTTTCTACTATGTAATGGATAGTGACATAATTCCAGGAAGACCTCAACAGACAAAAGATAACTGTTCAGTAAAAACACTTTGCTGTTGATTTGCTAGGTTCCGTTTGCAGCAGCGTCCCCAATTCACAGCTTGTTTTCCTTTGCACGTCACACGTCACCAGTTTAGGAGGCTTAAGTTTATTTCCTGTGTAGGCTACTATCTGAAAATAAAATCTATCGCAGTATTAATATATACTGTATACAGTTAGTATTTAGTACAGAATTGGGACACAGCTTAGCCTACAGTCGTACTAACAACTCTGTGAGGCTTTGAGCTGAAGTCAGCATATTAACATACACTGCACTAATCATCAGCATTGTCATTGTGATGACAATGCTGATGATTAACTGGTATAATGTTTACCAGGTTCACCATCTTAGTTTAGAGTGTTTGCATCCAAAAATCTGCTAATTAGCACTAAACACAATGTGCAACAGATGTTGATGGGAATGTCATTTTTGCAGGACAAATAAAATGTTTGACTTGATGATGGCACTAACTGAAAAGTAAGAGAATCAGTTTATTACAGTTCATCGTGAAGAAAGAAAAATGTCAATTTTATGGTGATGCTGGATGAAAAGTCACGGGATCACCAAAATCATTTTAGGATTCATCCTTTGGGAACATCTTTACAAAATTCCATGGCAATCCTTAGATATCGTTAGATATTTCAGCCTGGACCAAAGTTGTGGACCCATCTAATGAGACATTTCCATCGCTACAGAGCCACACCAGCCCCCCCCCCAAAAAAAAAAACAAAAAAAAAACAGTATGTGTCTGTATAGTCTGAATTGTCACTAAAACACTCCCTAAACCCATGCAACACAAATGGAAAGTCTTTGCACTGCATTTTATACCCAGTACATATCAGTGCAACAGGCAACTGGCTTTTAATTGCCCATAATTAGCCTCAATGACATGATTTCAGCCCACTGCTTCCCCCTGATTGCAGGCTGCTAAAAGGGACATTGTACTTGCAGCCTGAGCACATGGTGTTTGGAAGTGTATGAACTGAATCCTCTCATTAAGACATTCATGTGTGGGAGCTGGATGTTGTTGCAGGTGATTGAGGATGGCCGAGACAATGGGGAAAAGCAAAACAATATCTCTCTCTGAGCTGTGCAGAAAGTTGTTTAGAGCAAAGGCAAATACAGTGAGCAGTAAATAAGTAGAGACAGACCATGTCCCAGTACAACAGTGGGACTGACTGATCTTGGGATGCAATATGATAGACACTGTGTGTGTGTGTGTGTGTGTGTGTGTGTGTGTGTGTGTGTGTGTGTGTGGTCTGAGTTTCCTATAGAATTTGAGCAGTGCATTAACACCATTAAATCTAACAAAGAGCTGTCACATTTAATGTCTATTTAATTGTTTTCTGTTGTTTTAATATTATTTTGATTTTTATATTCATTTTAAAATTCCTGCTGTGTTCCCGACTGTATACTCTATACTGTTTATTTCCCCATTGGCATTTTGAGGCTCTCAGCAATGTACAGTTCTTTCTTTCTTTCTTTTTTTTGCCTCTATTTGATGGAGTACAGTACAGCAGAGAAGCAAACAGGAACTGTGGTGGGAGAGAGTCTATGTTATAATGATGCACCCTGCTTTTCACTCAACATAGAGCCATTAAAGGGACTCTTAATCAACTTCATTCTATGGCTAATGAGATTCTACATTAAAAAACAATTTTCAGCTGAAGTTAGAACAGTTTTGTTGCTTTCACATGGGAGATTTCTGCAGGTGTTGTTTTGTCTGTGCTCATCTTACTCATCCTGACCCTAACCCACTGGTTTAAAGCGAGCTGAGTTCAGTTGGCAAAAGGTGATGTAACATACTTCAGTATACAGATCTGCATTAAAATTAGTTACCGGTTTTAATGTTGTGGCTGATTTGTGTATGGTGCGACAAAGTCCGTGTTTGGAGTAGGTTGGGATGGGTGGATGGGT